TACAGTGCTTGTTGTGTTGCTGACGGCAGTGATGATGGCGATGCCATGACAAATTAGCATATGAAACTACCACATGACGAAACTTGCTGCCATCGTGGTGGTGCGGGGGCGGAGGGCAGGAGACGAATGAGGGCTGCAGCGGGAGCGAGGGGAAGGGCGAGGGTATGGCGAGATGGGCAGTCGCGGGAGGACGCGCATGGCCCCGAATGGTACTGGGGCAGGGCTGGGAATCCCGGGTGCGTTCTGACCAAGCTTTCGAGGCGAATCCGACGGTGGCGACGGGAGCCTCCCAGGAGGGCGAAACAAATCAAAAAAAGGGCGAAGGGTATCGGTATGGGTATCTTTTCCTCCTCTTGAGAGAAGAGGCGGCAGGGAGAGAGGAGGGGGAATAGAGGCCTCCTAGGTGGGGTTCGAGTGGATGGTGTCGAAGGATCGCGCCGCATCGCAAATGCATCGCCGATGTATCGGCGATGCATCGGCGATGCATCGGCGACGCATCCGCGACGTCGGCGTGGGGAAAATCGGGCTCCTCATCGAGCCGATGCATCGACGATGCGGCGCGATCCTCCGAGGGCGTGTCCCCCTACAGGGGGGGTTTTGACGAAAAATTAAAAACACACAAAAAATACACCAAAAAGGCCAACAAATACTCAACAACATAGTCCCCATACCATTTTTGGACTACTTTTTGAAGATTTTTGACATATCTTTACTTTGTCGTCGAATATCCCCCTGTAGGGGGACAGGCCCGACTTAAGCCGAGAGTTTGGACACCCGAAATGGGTACCGAAAGAATGGGCAACATGCCCAACAACAAATGTTGTCCCGAACCAACAGCGGCCGCTGTTGGGCAGGCGGCCTTCTGTCTCGAATGGACACAGGCCGCGGCGGCGCGGACAGCGAGTCCTGTTCAAAATGAACAGGAACTGCTGTTGGGCATCGTACCCATTCTTTCGGTACCCATGTCGGGCGTGCAGAGAGGGGGGAAGGGAGGGCATGGAGAGGGGACGCCAGCGGGCGGCGCGCCCTTTGCGCCCGGAGCACGCGCCGCCGCATGCCGGCCCGAGCGAGCGGCGGCGGCGGCGGCGGGCGCGCTCCAGACAGGCACGGCCGATGGTCGGGGAGGCGTGAGACTCGGGTTCGGGTGAGCATCGTCTAGGGGGCAAACAAACCTACCTCGCTTTTGACCACCATCGCTTCCAAGAGATACCAAGCGATGCCAAACTACGGCCCGTACTGGTCAGGCCGCTTGACGAGGAGGCGCGTGGTATGACTTGGTTTTGCCTGGAAGCGAAAGCGGGGTAGGTAATCCACGCTCTGATCGTCTGATCGACCCCTACACTCGGGGCGTTGACCTCAGGAACCCAGAAGAAGGAGCGAGACCCCCATCTTCTATATGTTGAGCGTCGATTCCAGGTCGAACACCCAGGGAAAACCTAAGGCAAGCTGCGAAACAATTAAGGAACACGGAGCCCCTCCCCAACGAGAAGGGTTTCTTATTCAGCGGCCCGACTGTATCCCCATGGGAGTGGCCTGGGTCCCACTGGCCGATCTGCCGCCGCAGAGGGGATATGGGCCGATGCCTTTGGGTCTCGAGGGGCATATCCCCAAATGGTGCGGGTCTGGATTGGGATGGGGTTGGGGAGAAGGGTCGGTTAAGCGATACTGATCGGAGGACCCAGCTGGCCTGACGGGGTCCTCAAGAAAATGACGAGGCACAATCTGGGACTTGACGCGAGCTCCCGCTGCCCACATCCCACGATGGGCCGTCAAAGTTCAAGACGGTTTTGTGAAACAACGTCGGCAAACCGAGTTCCAGCGAACTCGAGTCTGACACTTCCCGACATAGGAGGGGGGAGCGAAAATAGAGGAACAAAAAACGACAGCAACGCAATTTCTCAGGGGCCCGCGCGGATGTCGTGGATCGGCGCCGGACACCCCTCGCCCGTGAGCGGAACGCGCCAAGGGCGGTATCGGAGGCGCCGCCAGGGCGGCCCAACGCGGATCCAAGAAATCCGCGCGGGCCTCCGAGAAATTATGTATCTATCCTTTTTCGCTCTTCGACAAGGAGGCAAACGCAGCTCAAGCGATCCTCCGCTCGCTGGCAGAGCCCAGCGCGGCCTCGTGCGGCAACGGGTTGCCTGCCCGACCCACTTTTGCGCTGCACAAGCAGGCTTTTCGGTGCGCCTGCTGGGCGGCGGCGGTCCCATTGGATACGAGGCCTGTGGATACCACGCCGATGGACACCCTAACAGTCCTATCATCGAATTAAAAATGTGTTTTTGTAGTGGAAATGCTCGAAAAGCATCCAAAACGGTTTTGACACATTTTTAGACATCTGGAAATTGTTTGGCAACATGCTTCCTCTCCATTGATCGTCCTCCACAATGCAATGCCAAAACAATCAAGTATTTGTGGTTGCCCGCTCCCTGGAACCAGTCCACCCGTCCCCTTTTCATTTTCTCAATCCGCCACACATGCGGTACACCGTGCGGAGGAACAGGACGCTCACGTGCGGAATTTACGCGGGCACCTTGTGCGCGAATGTCCGCAAGGTTAACACTTCTAGATCCTGGACTTTCTTGTCCCGATGTGTGGATACGAAGTCTCTGGAACGCCCGACCCTCCCCGTCAGGCCGTCTTTCGTCAACTAAACTTGCCACGGAGGGCTTCTACATTTACTTTAGCTTGTGGCATGGACCAGTGGGCGAATCTGGACTTTGGAGGCGTTCTCGTTTGGTGCGTCTTCGAAGCAATGGCCAAACCAATCATATGCCAGCTCTCTGGCTCTTTAATGATATCCCACGGCCGTCGCCAGAACTCCACTCCACGCAACGGTTTTGAACACCGTACGGGGATGTTTTAGATAATCGGCTCTTCGCGTTGCCAGAACTCCATCGCTGTGAAAAACTGTGACTCAGGTGACTCCGTGCATCCATTACAATTGGTTCCATCTGCGCTTGCCCTCAAACTCCAGCTCTTGTTCCAGCTCCGGCTCCACCCCCATCTTCAGCCCAGCTCCAGCTCGTCTCGGACTCCATTTCCAACATGTGAGTTCAGCCTGTCGTGGGAGCTGATAGCGGTAGTTATCTGCCCGCATGCTAACTTCCAGCTGTTTCTCCGTGTCCTGGAGGTGTAATGGCGCGCGGCCGCGCTGGGCATTGCAAATGTCCTGCTTTTCTCTCGCCTCTTTTTTTTTTTTTTTGTTATTTCTGTCTCTCTTTATCTCTCTCTCTCTCTCTCCCTCTCCCTCTCTCTCTCTCTCTCTTTCTCTCTCTCTCTCCCGGTGGGTCTCTTGCACTTGGCCCCGCACATGACCTCGCAAGTGGTCCTGAGGTACGTGGCATCATCCAAGATCTCAGCGTGCACCTCCGCACGCGGCCGCGCTGATGAGAAGCCCTTGCCAAAAGCCTGGAGTGAGCGATCCAGTCCACGTCGCGCGTCACGTCCATCAGCGCCGCCCTGCGGTGATCCCGGACCAGTCGGTCGACCAGCGTAATAGCTGGAATCGAACTGTTCGGGTCGTCACCAATGCGCGCGCCCATGCTAGTGGCCTGGCGCGCAGCCGCTGCTGATGCGCTGGGTGCGTTGGATTTGCAAAAGTCTGGCTCCTGCATGTGGTCGCGGTTTGTCACCGAAGATCTTGACGTAGCCGATGCATCCGGCAGCAGCAGCATCGTTGGCGGACTTTGATCCGATATTATCCTCGATAGGTTTCGAGCCGAGAAGTGCGGAATCGCCCCCCTTCCCCTTCCCTTGCCTTTTGAACGCTGGGCCTGGATCTGGTTAGCGCTGCCGTGGGCGTTGCACTTCATGCGGTTCCTGTGCGGTCCAAGGGTGTCAACTTTGGCCCCATGCCTTTTCCCAAAGTGCTCCGGCGTCCCTTATCCTTCTCTTTGGCAACGACTATGTCTTCAACGCCACGACCGTGTAAACTCAGTCCCATGCCCTTGCCTCGTCCATGTTACCCGTTGTGGAATACTCTTCGCGCTGCGCGCCTAACGCGGCTGATCGGTTTCTGGGCGACTCGTCTCCAGCGAGGCTTAGCGCGCTGATGTCCCAGAAATGAATACTCAGCAATCTGCTAAGTGTAACGGTACGTCTGTCCATGGCATTTCTGCAAGACCTAATGAAGATACGGCTCCGGGGCCAGTTCCGAAGTCGAAGGGCGAGGCGGTTTGTACAGCCCCTCCCCGCAGGATGGTTGCTGGGTTTGACGCTGGAATGTAAGCCACTTGTGGCAGTGGTGACCCAGCGGTGCCACTTGTTAGCGCGGCGAGAGTTTCCTGGCCTAGACCTTTTTCTGAGGGGTCTGTATCCCCCCAAATGTTTTCATTTGAAGGTGTCCATGCGCCAGATTGGGCATTGCTGGTCATGGCGTGGGATGTGCCTGCATAGTTCTCGCGCCGACTGAAGATAGCTCTGCTACGTCCTGAGTCGCATTCGGCTAAGTGACCATAGCTGCGCATGCGCACAAGGAATTGGTCGTGCTGTTGTTGGTTACGGGCGTCTGGCGGTTGAGCGGCTGCCAGAGCTGCGAAGCACTGGAGGTGCCGACTCCTAGGGCACGAACTCATATGATCGCCAGGATCTGACAATTGGGAATGGTGCAGCCAGCCGAGTCAGCTTCCAGCCTGGCCATCTCGAAGCGGACTCAGACCGCATCGATTCGCTCACCGCGTTCAACGCTGAAGTCAATGATTGCTGTGCCAGACGTCAATTGCCATTCGTCCTGCAAGTTTTCAAAATTCACGCTGCGGAGGAGCATGTTGTAGGTTACTCTGTCGGTACATTGACCTGGGATGATCACTCCGTAGTTGATGATGTATGTCGACACCCTCATCAAACTTGTCCTCGCGAGACCACTCAAGCTGCGCTGAAATTCGGCGGGTTGTTGGGATGGTGTTGTCGTGCCGCTGCTAACGTTCAACCGTGAATGACCTTCGCAAACAAAATTGCGAAACCCGCCCAGAGGCACCCACGACGCCCAGAGAGGCCTCGGCGAGAAAACCAACACCAATCAATTTACTGCAGCTTTGGCCACATGTTGGCCTCCGGGGGGGGGGGGCAATGCACCACGGCTCCTCTTCTGATCGATTGCTCCTCCTAGATGGCCACAAGATGGCACCCGTGCTCCCAAGGGTGCCCCGAGGGCCCAAGAGGCCCCCAAGATGCCCCCGAAAAGATCCCAAGGGACCCCAAGAGGCCCCAAGAGGCTCCCAAGAGGTACCCAAGACGGCACAAATGGCCGCGCAAGACTGCCAAGAGACACCCAACACACCCAAAGAGGACTCCAATAATCTCGGGGGACAAATCAGAAGAGACTCTGAGAGGCGTCCAAGAGGCTTCTGGCCGTTCTGCTCGCCTTCCTCTCCTCCTCCTCCTCTCCCTCCTCCTCCTCCTCGACCTCATCCGCTTATTAGCCCTCCTGTCTCCTCCCTCCTCCCCTTCCCTCCTCCCTCCTCCCCCTCTCCCTCTCCCAACTCCTCATCCTACTCCTCCGCCTCCCGCTCTTCCGGATGCTCCTCCATCCTCGCCCTCTTGGGGTGCGACGTCTGACCCTGCCCTGTATTCCACTGCGTTCTCATCCAAGCCTGGATCAGGGCAACTCGTCTGAGCATAGTTCCTGGATGGGCTGGTGGGGTTACACGAAGCGTCTCGGAGAGTACTAATAGGACTACGGGCAATAATACTAATATCAAGATCCGGAATGATAATACAATATGACTACTACGAATACGACGAATCAGCATACCACCCATGCTGATATGAATGCGACTAGTTCGAATTACAAATCACAAGCAGACGGAACATACTAATAACACTAATGATGCGGCTGCTCAGAATCACTCGGGAAAACGCCTACCCACACCACCACCATTAATGAGAGGACGAAGAGGAAGAACACTGACAACAACACTGCTCACGCATCTACTGCAGGAACGTCCTTGGCGCGTGCTGCTGCGGGGGGGCAGCTTCGCGGAGAGCCCGCTCGGCTGCGCGCTGCAGTGCGAGGGCGAAGAGCAGGGTCCCCGGGTCCCCTTGCGGCACCCCGCGCTCCAGGCGAATGCAGCGACGTCCCAGCCAGAGCAGGGACGGGCCCTGGTTTGGGCGTGGCTTAATGGGGGGGTCACAAATGGGGGGGTCAGAAAAGGTCCCCTTTCGTGCCCCTTTCGGGCCCCTCCAGAGCCCCAGGGGGCTCGTTTAGGTACCGTTTGGGTACCTTTTCGGACCACCCTCGCCGCCCCCCCATTTACGATCCCCCCGTTACGCGACGCCCAACTGGTGTCACGCAGACCGCTGCCGTCGGTCCTGCAGCCGCCTGGGCTGGCGACGCCGACCTGAGCGGGGACGAGGCGGTCCCGCGCGGCGTCGGATGCCTGGCTGCAAAGACACTGTGCCAGCTCCAGCTCCAGCTCCTGGCCTGGCTCCGACTCTAGCCGAGTTCCTGCGCAGCTGGCGCTCTAGCTCCAGCCCAGCTCAAGCTCCGACCTGACGTCCTTTCGAATGGAACATTGTTCAGGATTGGCTTGCTGTCCATATTGCCTGTCTTAGGTTATTCCGTTCAGGCTTCACAGCTGAGAAGGCCGAGTTTACTTTGAAGACCCGAGATTGCATACCTCCAAGTCGGACATCAGTTTGCATGTTCCAGGCGAGGTCGCTGCGCAACAATACTTGCAACACACACGTTGGGCAAACCACATCGCGTCTTTACTCTCAAATGTCCCATTTACGCTTTCACGCAGTGGTCCATTGACTAGCAAACGCAATGTATTATTGTGGGAACGTCGCCGGGAAACTTCTTTCCACAGGATCAAAAGCAGGGCTGGACCTAGACGCTGTTTTTCGATGTGTGTTCGTTTTGTTATTCGTTTTGCTTTCCATGTTTTCCTGTACCTCCCTGCCACAACGAAAAACAAAAGCACAGCCGAAGCCCAGCAAGACAGCGTTTAGGTGCAGCCCTGATCGAAAGGACGGAATTCACCCAAAACTTTTATCTTCGAGCTGAGCCTGGGTTTGGGGGTTCGGGGGTTAGAGGTCGAAGCTTCTCCCCGGGACCCTTTAGGGGTGCGTTCTGGCCAGAGTCTCGCTGGCAATCCAGCCGTGGCCATGAGGGCGACCCATGCTGCGGACAAGTGCATTATCACATCGAGACACCTCGAACCTCGACCCCCGAACTCCGATCCTCGGACTGCTACCCCGACCGTCAGCACAGGCAATCATGACCCTAGGCGAGGGTGAGCTTTGGTGCGCGGCTCGCCCGTCGTTGCACGCGGTGCGATAAGCGGCGGCCTGCGTGCGTGGGTCCGGCGCCCCCACCGCGCCCCCCGACAGCCGGGCACCTAGGGCCGCTCCTGCCAGGGGCCACCCTCACGCGCAGCCGACCGACGACCGCGCGCGCCCCGGTGACCCGCAGAGGCCGGGCCGAGCTCGTCGTCGCTGGAGGACGCGCCGCCAAGGAGGTCGATTCTCGACGCCGAGGGCGACGGCGCGGAGAGCCGCGGGGCCTCGCCACTCGAGGCCACAGGCGTAGACGAGGATGTCGTTGGCTACGCGCAGGAATGATCCTAGGCAAGAGTGGCCTGTGGTGCGCGGCTTGCCGACCGCTGCGTGCGACAACGGCGGCCTGCGTGCTCGTGTGCGGGCCCCCGCGCCCTCCCCGGAAGCCGCGCACGCAAGGTCCCCTCCGGCGAATGGCCACTCTTACGCGTGGCCGATTCGGGCGAATTGGAACTCTTCTTGGATGCGAGCGACTTCTTCTATTCGATCGCGGCCTCCGATGGCTGTGCTCGGGCCCTGGGCCACCAAAAGCGATTCCGGGGCGAAGTATTACCCCAGCAAAACATCCCGATAGCAACGCAGGTGAGGAGCCAGGTCGTGGAGCAGGAGGTCGGCTGCAGGGAGTAGGGGTGAGAGCACGGCCACGTGCACCCGAGTGTATTCGTTCACGAGTGTATTCGTGGCCGTCGGGACTGAGACACGTCGCCGACGTGGAGGCGAGAACGCGATTCCTAAACAGTGAGGAACCCTCGGGCGAAACGGCTGTCGGACCAAACGATCCGGGGCGGCGGTCTCGGGCTCCCCGTCCCTCCCGTGGGACTCCCATGTGGTCTTTTCTTCAACTCGGTGGTCAATCTCTTCAAACCTCTACTAGACCCCTCCAACGAAATGCCATTCAGGAAAACCTGCCTCCCTGGGAGAAGGGGTCACGAGCCCTGTGGCCCCACGGAATCTACATAACGAGTCCGTCGGAGATCTGGGTTGTGGGGTCCAGGAAGCTCCACATCAGCGGCTGCAGGCAGTAGGTCGGTCAGGAAGAGGACCGAAGATATAGGTTGTTTGTTTGGGCCTCCTGGGGCCACCAGGAGACTCTAGAGACTCTGGAGACCATAGGCCTCCAGAGGCCTCTGGAGACACCTGTGGACCCCTGCGGGGACTTCCACAGTCTTCTGGAGGCTCCAGGCGAGAGAGGATTGTGATGCAAACGAAGTCCCCCAACAGTGCTTGTACTTAGAGGTTCTTCCTCATGCCACAAAGAACTTGGATGTGTCTTGCCGCCCGTGGCCGCCTCGTTGCCGCCTCGTGCGCTGGGCGGTCTCGCGAGGTTCCGCCAAGTTGCCGCCCGTGTCCGCTTCGTGGCCGCCTCGTGCGCTCGGCCACGTTGCCGCCCGCGGCCGCGCTGTGACCGCCTCGTGCGCTGGGTGGTTCGGCGAGGTGTCGCCGCGTGGCCGCCCGTGTCCGCGTCGTGGTCGCCTCGTGCCTGGATGGGTTCGGCGAGGTTTCGCCTCGCTGCCGCCTTTTTGCCGCGTGGTGGCCGCCTCGTGCGACGGGCGGGTCTGGCGAGGTATCGCCACGTTGCCGCCTCGTGCGCTGGGTGGGTCCTACGACGCTTCGTCACGCTGCCGCCCGTGGCCGACCGTGGCCGCCTCGTTGCCGCCTCGTGCGCTGTGTGGGTCTTCGGGGGGCTCGCCACGGTGCGCCGATTTCCGCCACGCTGCCGCTTGCGCCAAATAGCCTGCACCGCATGGATGACACAACAGAGGACGCACCGTTTGGGGCCCGAACTGGCTAACATGCTCTGCCTGAGGGGAAGGCGTAGTGAACATGTTCGCTGGATTCTGCCTCCGGGGGCGCTCCTGGTGCCCTCCCCCTGTCCGAAGCCAGCGACGCCGTCAGATCATAACTCTGGATAAGATCCGGATTCGGGGAAGGTATTCGGGTATCCAAAACCCGTTTCCCTTAATGTCCCTGTCCTTCATGCTAAGCGTCCTGGAGCATAACCTGTAGATAACGGATAGGGGGGGCAGGCACTGGCAGCCACTAAGATCCGTTCCATGAACTGCTCCTTGTCGAGAGCACTATGGAAACGCAGCTGCAATCCAAAACCGCCCCTGAGGCCTACGGAAAAGGGAATCAAGCATGGCAGGATAACGCGGCGCTCATACGCACACATATATATATATACACACTATATTCAAATGTTTGCATGCATGTGTATATACTAAAACATATATCGTGGACTGTAAGGTTCCGCGTGTACAACAGTGGAAATCTATGTAAAGCTCGTTTGGGGGCCACACGAATGCCTCCTCTTTCTCCCTCCCTCACATCCTCTACATTATTGTCCTGCCCCTCCTCTTCCACATCCGTTTCCTCCACTTGTTCGGCTACCTTTTCCTCATCATCCTCACCCTCCTCTTCGTCGTCCTCCGTCGTCGTTTCGGCTCAAGGTCTAGAAGCTCCCCGCTGGAAGCACAGGGCTCTGCCCCCCCCGAGGAGACACGTCCAGAACGGATCCGAAACGAAAAACGTTGCTGATTGGTATTCCTACATGCCTTCCGGCCGAAACCCCACATGCCGCCACGCTGTTCCTGACCACCTACCAGACCACCCCAACACAACCCGAAGACCTGAATTTCGGGTTGGGGGGGGTACGGGTTCCATATGTGTTTTCTCGATGTTCCCCGACCTCCCCCCCACTGGAAATGGAGTGCAAATTGAGGCCTTCGGGTTGGGTTGGGGTGGTTTGGTAGGTGGTGAGTTCCCGGGCAGGCGGTACTGCCCGGCGGAAAGGGGACGATGAGGGGAGACGCAGGCACACGACGACGAACGCCCAGGCGGGAGGCCCAAGGCCGGCGGGGCGGGCGGGCAGGCAACAGACGCGGGGCCCGGCGGAGACAGCGGTCAGGGAGCAGGAGGGAGGGAAAGGGAGGGAGGCAACGAGCAGAAGGGGAGGGAGGCGTTGGTCCCCTGCCTCCCTCACCTGTTTCTACTGTTTTCCGCTGGCGCACACCAGCGGAAAAAAAAAGAGCCGAGTGCTGCGCGGCGCGCGGGTGCTGAGGGGATGAGGGAGCCAACTGAAGAGTCAGAGAAACACCAGCAGGAGGACAAAGAGGAGGGGAGAGGAAGCAACCGCAAGCAGACAGGCCCAGCCAGGGGCCGGGAGGAAAGAGCCAGCCACCCGCGAAGAGGCTACGGACCCTACGGCGGCGATCTGGGCGGGGTGGCCGACCGAGCCCAGCATTAGGTTGGGCCTGTCCCCCTGCAAAGGGATTTTGGGCGAAAAATGATTAAACAGAGTCAAAGAATACCCAAACATGGTCAAAGATAGTAGACAAATCGTCCCGTACTATTTTCGACCATTTTTGAATATTCCTCCTGTAGACGGACAGGCCATGAGGTAACCCTACGGCGGCGATCTGGGCGGGGTGGCCGACCGAGCCCAGCACGGTGCGGCTTGGGGGGGATTGCTCCCTGCGGGATCCACCCGTCGCCCCGCCGAGGCGGGGCCGGACGGCGCATGTGAAGGGTCGCCGGCGCGACGCTGGCGAAAGGGCGCGGGGGGCGCCCGTGCTGCCCAGCAAAGGCGGACGGCAGCGGATTTCTGTATTTCTGCGTGGATTTTTGCCCGAAACGGCGAGCGAAATAAGAAATGAATTTCGCGTGGATTCTTTCTTTATTCCCGGCCATAAAAAGACCCGCGCAAAATTCACCCCGAAATCCGGATGGAAATTCTCCAGGACACTCTGGGCCCATCCCATCTTTTTCCGAAAGATATCCGCTCTGCGATGTTGGCGCCATGAGAAAGGCGGGGGGGTGGACGGGGGGCGCTAGGCTGCGCCGGGGGCATCTCACACGGCGTCCGCCGTGGAAGCAGCCGTTGAGCTGGCGTCCTCACATGGATACCGCTGATCCGCGGCCAGTTCTCGTTGTCTGTCAGCTCGCCCTGACCAAACCTGTGTGCTGGTTTGCCCCGATGCACGGAATCCATTGCAGGCCACTCCGCCCTGGTCTGTGAGCAGTGGCAGCGATTGCATGTATCGCGGGTCTGCGACTAAATATGTCAAGCCTGTATCCGGTGGCTACAAAGTGGACGGGGAGTGGGAGGTCAGATTGGTTCGCGTGCGGGAAAAAAGCTCGCGCTGGCAAAGGTTCCCTGGGCCACCAAGCCACCGCAAGGGGTAGAGGCCGGGTCAGAAAAAACATATGGTTACAGATGAAGGATGATGAACAGATGCAGCAACGCGACGTGGCCCCAGTCTTGTCGCCACCGACGTTTGGCTTCAGCGACACCGCCAGAACACCCCTCACAGCCAACCCCTGTGTGCTGAGGAGATGCTAACAACGAAACAAAGCACACATCGAACGCCCCAAAACTACGGCTCAAACGAAGAGACAAATAATTGCTTGGCCTCGGATCACCGAAAACGGACAACAGCATCAATAACACAACGAAACATGTGATGAAACATTAAGCCGCAAACGGTATCGTATTACACGCAAGGAGAACATCGAAAGACGACGGCGGCGCGGAACGAAACGAACAACGAAACGAACCACGGACTTAACGAACCAAGCAAAACGAACAACGAAACGCAGCCTTGGTATCGCGACGAAACAACAGTCTTGATATCGCGGCGAAACAACGGACAACGACACGCGCGCAAAAAAAGGTTTAACATTCAAACGCGTTGAAAACAATACCATACAACATGACGATACCACAACGAAACACAAGACGAACATCAAAACGAGGACCAAAACCTAACTAACATCGTTGTGGTCGGTCCCTGTCCTAGCTATGCGCACATATCCCTAACTGTTCCTGCACATCCATAGCTGTTCCCAACTATTTCTAGGTACCCCGAACTATTCCGCGCTGTTCCGACCTATGATTACCTATTCTAAGATTCTCCAACAACGTCCTACCTATTCCTACCTATTCCTGCCTATTCCTACCTATTCCTACCAAGTCCTACCAATTCTTACCTATTCTCATATACTCCTAGCAATTCCTACCTGCCCCTGCCTATTCCTAGCTACTCCTACCCCTTCCGCTGCGCCGCGCACGTCGAGAGGGCGCAGGGGCGCAGCGGCGCATGGTTGTGGTGATCAAGACCCACGAGAAGTCGACCAAGACCTGCGTGACGCGATGGGCGGACCTGCCGCCATTCTGCACGCGGGTGACGTCGTGCCCTATTCCTCTTCCTCCTCCTCTTCCTTGCCATGGGCGGACCTGCCGCCATCTTGCACGCGGGTGACGTGGTGCTGGAGGTGCATTCCCTGGTGCTGGGGGAGAAACTCCTCGCGGAACTGATCAAGAAGTAGTCGGGCAATGCGGGGACCACCGCCCACTCGCCGATGATGAACGAACTGGCAGTCCAAGAGGATGCCGAAGGTGAGAAACATGTGCAGGCGGACATCACGGAGGACGACCTGATGGAGTCCGACGGCTTCATCAATGGCACGCCCACAGCGAATGCGGAAGCGAACGAGTACCGCACTCGCACCACGATGAACGGCTACCTGAACGAGAACGTTGGCATCGGCGGGAACGGCAAGCCTGGTGCAATGTTCGGTGCCGAGGACTCGCAGCGAGGCGCTTTCAAGAAGACACGTACGGAGATGATCGAGATTGGGCACGAGTGGCCTGGGCATACGGACATCTCCGTGGACGACCTGGTGGTGTTGGACGGCTTCATCAACGGTGCACCCACAGTGGAAACGGAGGAGGTGTACATCACCGCCACCAGCATGGACGACTACTTGGACGAGTGCGTTGGCCTCAGCTGGAGCGACAAGCCCGTGGCAACGTTCGGCGACAGAGCGCAGCATGGGCACCATAAAGGACGACTACGCGGGCGAGAACATTGGACTCAACAAGAACGGCAACACCGCCACAGAGGACACACACACACCACCACCATCACCACCACACCCACCACCCCTCCCTCCTCCTCTCCCCACACACGCACACACGCACGCACGCACGCACGCGCAGGCGCAGGCGCAGGCGCAGGCACAGGCACAGGCACAAGCACAAGCACAGGCACAGGCGGAGGCGCAGGCGCAGGCGCAGGCGCGGGCGCAGGCGCAGGCGCAGGCGCAGGCGCAGGCGCAGGCGCAGACTTAGACGCAGCCAAACGCAGACGCGCAAGCGCAGGCGCGCAGGTGCACAGGCGCACAGGCGCACACGCGCACACGCGAACACGCGCACCCGCGCAGACGCGCAGGCGCGCACACGCGCACACGCGCGCACACGCGCAGACGCGCAGACGCGCAGACGCGCAGACGCGCAGACGCGCAGGCGCGCACACGCGCACACGCGCACACGCGCACACGCGCGCACGCGCACACGCGCACACGCGCACACACGCACACACGCACACACGCACACACGCACACACGCACACACGCACACACGCACACACACACACACACGCTCACACGCTCACACGCTCAGACGCAGACATGAACGCACGCACATACGCACACACGCACACACGCACACACGCTCACACGCTCAGGCGCAGACACGAACACAACCACAAACACAAACACACACACACACACACACGCTCGCACGTACGCACGCAAGCACGCAAGCAAGCAAGCCACGCACAACACAACACAACACCACACCACACCACAACACACCACACCACGGCACGCCACGCACACGCACACGCACACGCACCCGCACCCGCACCCGCACCCGCATCCGCACCCAGAAACGCACACAAACACACGCACACACAGACACACAAACAGGCACACACACACACACACGCACACGCGCACGCAAGCACGCGCAAAAGCAAACAAGCCACGCACGCACAACACAACACAACACATCACAACACAACACAACAACACACCACACCACACCACACCACGCCACGCACACGCACACGCACACGCACCCGCACCCGCACCCGCACTTGCACCCAAACACACACACACATTCACACACACACACACACATTCACACACACCATACACATTCACACACACACACGCACACACACACACACGCACAAACACACCCACACAAACACGCACACACACACACATACGCATCACCCACCACGCACCCACATACCCGCGCACCCACCCACGCACCCACGCACCACCACCACCCCAATGTCGCCGTGTGGGGTGGGGTGGGGGGGCGAATCATATCTTAAGAGAACCTGAGCCTGTGTGTAAGAGCCCTCGGACGTGAAGCGCGCATAGAGGCCCATATACAGGACGCGAGGGTATTCTTTTCGAGCCCCGCGACCTCGCCCCGAATCCCATTGCGAATGAATTTTCGGGACTGGGCAAGTGCAGGACGCGCAGGGTACCGTGGTGCGCGGGGACGACTCCGAATCAACTCTTCGTTGTTAAACAGGGAGCGGAGCCCGACTCAGAAGACATGGCAAAATACCCTTCGCCGCGGCGCCGCTGGCATGGCGCCGATAACGGAAACTCCGAAGTCAAGACCGAAGCGACCGCAAACCCGAGAGGACGCGAGCGTACCCTTGCCCAGAGGCGCGACTTCCCCATGGCGCGACCCACCCGGCACTCCGCCGATATGGCCCCAACGTCTGCGAAACTGACAGGATACAAGGGCACCCTTAGTCCGAACACGCAGAGGACATGAAAGGGATGGGCAGGACAGAATGGCACCCTTGTTTTTGCAGGGTCGACCTGGCAATGCGCCCCGACTGGCGGGTGGGCGGGATGGTTGATCGAGCGTAACAGTTGGCCACGCGAGAGGAAGTCACACTTAATTGCGCCACTTATCTTGCGAGCTAAGAATGGATGAGCCATATGGATAGCATATTATGAACCGAGCCGTATTGATGGTACCACATGGGCTGCACTACACACATGTGTATATATATATGTATTGCACTACGTAGAGCGCACAACATACATGGCACCACATGAGTTTCCACCACACAGATTGCACGGCATAGAAACAGACTGTTTGGGGTCCACGCTGGCTGCACATGTTTCTTTGCCTTCTCCGCAGAGAAGAGAGGGCTGGCGCCAGCCGCCACGCATGGACCGGTGCCACCCAGCAGGGGACGTTTCCGAGATGCCCCGCGCCATGGCAGCCTCCACCAGCGCCGCCCGCCCCGCCGCCGCCGCCCGCCGTCCGCCGTCCGCCGTCGCCGTCGCCGTCGCCGTCGCCGTCGCCGTCGCCGTCGCCGTCGCCGTCGCCGTCGCCGTCGCCGTCGCCGTCGCCGTCGTCGTCGTCGTCGTCGTCCTCGTCCTCGTCGTCGCCCTCGTTTGGGCGCTTTTGGGGCGCCTCGGGGGGCGTTTTCTCGTCGCCGCAGCGGCCGTCGCTGGGCGTCTGCGCCTCGGAGGCTGGCGGCCGGGGCTCCCGTCGCCGCGGGCGGACACGGCTCGGACAGCTGGCCAAGATCGGGGAGACGTACGACTCGGGTGCGGGGGACTCGGGATGGCCCGACGGGGAAAATCATAAAAACGACGAGACCCAATCCAAAATTCGACGCGAGCTCCCGCGGCAGACATCCCCACGAAAACGGGACCGTCAAGGTCCAAGACGCGCTCGGCAAAAAAACGTCGGCAAGCCCGAGTTCTGGCTTACTCGAGTCTTACGCTTCGCCGACAGGAGGAACAGCAGGAGGGACCCTGGGGCCGACTTTGAGCGGATGCTGCGCAGGCGACGGCAGCAGCAGCATGTCGGGAGCTCCCCTGCAGTCCCCTATGGAGGTGTCTCCAGAGAGGGCCGAACGCTTCGATGCTTCCGGCCTCGGCGATCAGTGGCGCCGCTCGGCGGACGGCGGCGGCGTCCACTGCGATCGGCGACGACGGCGATCGATGACGACTGCAATCGGCGATTGACGACGGCGGCGGCTGCGGCGATAGCGACGGCGGCGACGACGTTCACGGCCACCGCCTGTCCTTGTGTGGGCCCCAGGGCACGCGAGGGACGGGCACCTTCGCCAGTCGTCGCTCGAGGAGCCTGCTATGGCGCTTGCAACGGTTGGTGGTCGATGTGTGTGTGTGTGTGCGCCTTTGTGCGTGTGCCGATTCTCTTGTTTGCGCCTTCGCTGGATGGCGCTGCACAGTCGTGCACGCCACCTGTTTCTGCATTGGGCGTACAGCGACCCCCATCGACATTGTTTGGTGGTCATCCTCATTCACGGCCTCGCTGATCCATCGCTGTGTTGCACCAACTGGCCAGGAAACAACAAGCATGCTTGTCGGGCCTCTGCTTGTTCTGCTCGCTTCTTGCCAGGCATGAAACGGCGATGTGTTCATTTCTTGACCACGCCCCTGCCTCCTGCTGCCTTCCATCGGGGACGGCCAAGAGGGGGGCGTCCAAGAGGGGGGGGTGCAAATCATGACCGGCGGCATGTGCGCTGCCCAGCGGGGGGGCCGGGGACGTATTAAAACAAGAAGAGGCGCCATGAAATCTGTGGAAATATCATGGCTCCCGTCATGATATCCACACACCCCTAGTCATCACCCCCCTCTTTGCCGCCCCCGATCCAAGGAAAAGAGAGGCCGAAAGTAACGGCCCGGGCAACAGGCCACGTGGCGCCCACCCCCCCCTCCCGGCGCCCCCCCTGCCCCCCTCTCAGCCCAGGGTGCCCACCCCGAGCGAGGAGGGCGGCTCCGCGAGGCGGCGCGACTGCACCTCGAGGGTCGAGCCTTCTCGAGGAAGAAAAACAGGCATCGGAGCTCCGCGAGGATCTCTTGGATCGGCGCGGAACCCTCCTCCCTGGCGCGCTACGCGCGCCAGGTGCGGCGCCGGAGGCGCAGCCAGGGGGCGTCCAGCGCGGATCCAAGAAATACGCGCGGAGCTCCGTGTGTACGACGACAACGACCGACGACGACCGACGACGACCGACGACGACGACCGACGACGACCGACGACGACGACGACGACGAACGACGACGACGGACGACGACGACCGACGACGACGGCGGCGGCGCGGAGCTCCGTGTGTACGACGACGACGACGACGACGACCGACGACGACCGACGACGACCGACGACGACGACGACGACGACGACGACGACGACGACGACGACGACGACGACCGACGACGACCGACGACGACGACGACGGCGGCGGCGCCCGACGACGGCGGCCGTCTGCGACAGCGGCGGGCGGCGATCGACGGAAGCGGCGGACGGCTGCCCCCCTCGCCCGCGGCCTCCGACCGCGCCAGCTCCGACGCCGGGGTGCCGAGCCTCCCCAGCAGACCGTCGTCGGCGTCGGCGTCGTCGGCGTCGCCGCGGTGGCCGTCGCAGATCGCGGATCGCGGTCGCTGTCGTCGATGGTGTTTTTCTCAGATGGGCTTCTTTTTGAGCACCTGGGGGCCTCGAATATCGACCTGTTCTGGACGTGTTTGCTCTCCTTTTCGGGCCTTCGAGAGCCGCCAGGGACCTCCAGAAAGCTCTGGAGTTTTCGTCGTCATGGTCATCACCATCATTATCATCATCGCCATCATCACCATCAGCACCACCACCATCATTCGGCGGCGAGCCCGGGGGGAAGTGAGAAGGGGCGGGCCTTCTCAGAAGGCTCGGAAGTCCCCTCGGCCTTCTGAGAAGTTTCCCAAACCTCCCGGGAAGAAAGGCCAGAGGTCTTCTGAGAAGCCCCGCCGCCGTCTGAGCAGGCCTACTCGCACTCACTTCTCCCTCTCGCTCGCCGCCGACCACCGCCACCATCATCATCATCATCATCATCATCATCATCATCATCGTCATCATCATCATCATCATCATCATCATCAGCAGCATCATCATCACCGTCACCATCATCATCATCATCATCGGCATCGTCATCAGCATCGTCATCCGCATCGTCATCAGCATCGTCATCAGCATCATCAACATCAACAGCATCATCAGCATCATCGTCACCTTCATCACCATCATCACCACCGCAATCATCATCATCATCATCATCATCTTCATCATCAGCAGCAGAACAATCATTTTCATCAGCAGCATCATCATCATCACCCTCACCACCACCATCATCATAATGATCATCATCATCACCATCATATTCAGCATCTTCATCCTCATCCTCATCCTCATCCTCATCCTCATCATCAGCATCACCATCATCATAAACATAATCATCATCGTCATCATCATCGTCGTCATCACCATCACCGCCACCGTCACCATCACCATCACCATCACCATCACCATCACCATCATGATCACCGTCATCATCATCAGCATCATCATCACCATCACCATCACCATCACCATCACCATCACCATCACCATCACCATCACCATCATCATCATCATCATCATCATCATCATATCGCCATCATCACAACCATCATCGTCATCAACATCATCATCCTCGTCGGGGGTGGAAAGGGGAGCGCCAGACTTGCCACCGCTCGGACGTCCATTCCCCCGTGCATGTTTGGGTTTCGTGCGCTTATTCTTTGCAAAACGCTCCATGATGATCCACAACAAATGCACACGTCCGAGCGATAGGAGGAGGAGGAGGGAGGAGGGAGGAGGAGGGAGTAGGAGGATGAGGGAGGAGGAGGAGGAGGGAGGAGGAGGGGAGGAGGATAGGAGGAGGAGGAGGAGGAGGAGTAGGAGTAGGAGTCGGAGTCAAGCTAGCCAGCTCGAGCGAGTCAAGCATGGCATGCCCAGTCCCACCCGCCCTCCCACAACATAAGAAGCAAAGCTGGCACAACTGGGGGCCGAAGTCACACCGGCCAGCCGGTTTGGTACAGCTGATGCGGCCGCGATGGCGGTTGCCGACGGGAACTGGCGAGCGCGTGTTGAATGCCGCGCACGCATTGCCAGACGAGTCGAGAATGGCCTGGTACACCGCAGGAAGCCAGAGGTGGCCGGAGGAAGCCCGACGGTCTGACAGGACACCCCACAGCATTTTTGTGAAAAAGCATTGGGTTTTTGATGTTTTTATGTTGAAATGCTTGCAAACACACGGTGTTCGGTAGGATTCTGACATGAACGCGCGAGTGTGCTCTTTGTGGTATTTTTTTGCACAGGATTCGCGGCCTGGGTGCATGACAGAGCATCGCGAGTGCACCGCGCGATGACGTGAAATCGCTGGATTTGACAGAACTCTTAAGATTCCTATGGTTTTCCTATGATTTCAGCAAGAGAGCCCGGGCGGGAAATTTGTACATTTGTTGTGAAAAAGCATTGGGTTTTTGATGTTTTTATGTTGAAATGCTTGCAAACACACTGTGTTCGGTAGGATTATGACATGAACGCGCGCGTGTGCTCTTTGTGGTATTTTTTGCAATGGATTATCGCCGTGGACGACAGGACGTCCATGTCGAGAGGAAAAAATAAGAGAAATGTTGCTTTTATATTGTTTTTTACAGGTTAGGATGGGACCCCCCGGATGCGGCCCCTAATGGCCGGCCTGAGGGGGGAGTAGGAGCATATTCTAATAAGGAATAATGATAGGAGGAGGAGGAGGAGGAGGAGGAGGAGGAGGAGGAGGAGGAGGAGAGGAGGAAGGAAGATGGTCTTCGCCGAGAAAAAATGCACATGTCCGAGCGATGCCGAGCAGAAGGCCAGAGGGAGGCTCTGTCAGGGTGGGTGTGGGTGCGTGCCTCCCCTCGCCCTTCTTGTTCTGGCCCGTCTCGCCCTCCCCTCGCCCTCCCTTCTTGCCCTCCTCCTCCTCCCCCCCCCTCTCGCCCCTCCTTTCGGCGGCGAGCGATGGGGGGAAGTGCGAAGGGGCGGGCCTTCTCAGAAGGATGGGAAGGGCCGCGAGCCTTCCGAGAAGTCTTCTGCGCCCTCCCCGAAGACACAAAACGCCTCTCGGAAAGCGCGAGGGCTTCCGAGAGGCCCCGGCGCCTTCTGAGAAAGCCCACACGCTGGTCGGAAGAGGTAGGTAGAAACATGACGTAGGAAGGCGGATAATGCAGATTGGGCTCGGGTCCGCCCAAAGAAGAACAGACAATAGCCAAACCATGTCGATTAGATTGGAGTAGGAAGGCGCTTGAAGTAGGTTGGGTCTGGGAATCCAAGAATACCTGCTTACAACGACCGATGGGTACAGTGGAGGCCAGTCTACAAGGAACCTTCCACTAGAAACCCAGCCCTGAGACCCCATGACGTCCATTGCTTATTGGGGTGTGTGGCAACGCCTCGCGCTGTCCACAGCAAAACCACCGAAACCCAAGATCAGGGCTGAACCTAAACGGTGTTCTTCGTTTTCGTTTTGTTTTCGTTTTCCCTCGTTTTGTCTTCAATCCACCTCTACCGCCAAACGTAGTCGAAACGAAAACGGCCCACGAGACCGCCGAAAACTCCGTTTAGGTCCTGCCCTGCCCAAGATAACCCAGTGCACCCTGGAGGCAAGCGGGGTGTTCTTGTCGGCATGGGTCCCCACCGCACTCACAACTAGGCGGCGAGCGAGGGGGGAAGTGAGAAGGGGCGGGCCTTCTCAGAAGGCTCGGAAATCTCCAAGCCTTCTGAGAAGTGTCCCAAGCCTTCCCCGAAGACACCGGAAACTTCTCAGCAGGCGCGAGGGCGTCCGAGAAGTCCTGCCGCCTTCTGAGAAGGCCTTCTCCTTTCGGGGGCGGCAAAGAGGGGTGCGTCCAAGAGGGGGGGTGCAAATCATGACTGGCGGCATGTGCGCAGCCCAGCGGGGGGGCCGGGGACGTAACGAAACAAGAAGAGGCGCCATGAGATCTGGGGAGAGACCATGGCCCACGCCATGATATCCACACCCCCTTAGTCATCCCCCCCCTCTTGGCCGCCCCCGATCTGAGAAGGCCTCGTCCTTCTCAATTCCCCCCCTCGCTCGCCGCCGAACAACGACCGGTAAGCACCCCCGCTCGCCTTGCCCCCCCCGGGGGGGCGCGCGCCGCCGATCCCCCTCGCCCTCTCTCCCAGTCCTGGACCTCCCGGCCTCGCCCTGCGGCGGGGGCCATCCGGGGGGTGGGGGGCGCGCCAGGAGGGAGGCACCGGAAGCGTGTGCATTGGGCTATCTCTTAGAGGGAGCAGGAGGGGGGGAAGGACAGAGGAAGGCGGATTAATAATAATAATAATAATAATAATAATAATAATAGTAATAATAATAATAATAATAATAATAATAATAATAATAATAATAATAACTGAGCGCCGCCCCCGTGGCCCTCCAGAGAGCCCCAAGAAGGGCCACGAGGCCGCCAAGAGCCCTCCAAGATGGTTCAAGAGTGCTCCGAGATGCCACACGATCGTTCCAAGACGCCCAAGATGGCCCCCAGACGCCCCAAGAGGCCTCCAAGAGCACTCCCCAGAGGGCCCCAAGAGGCAAAATTCATTACTTTTCCGTAGGTTTTGGGCAGATTTTGGCGTGTCCATCTTTTCGGCTTCCCGACGCCCCAAGACGGCCCAAGAGGCCCCCAAGATCGCCCCAAGAGGGCCCAAAAAGATCCCAAGAAGGCCCCAAGATGGCCCAAGAGGGCTCCAAGACGGCCCCAGAGGCATCCAAGACGGCCCAAGAGGGGCCCAAGAGGGCCCCAAGCGATGCCCCAAAGGGGGAACACAAAACAAAACTTCGAGCCATCGGCCTTAAGAAGCCCCCAGGAGGCCTCAAGAGGCCCCTGAGAGGCCCCAAAAGCCCCCAAGAGGCCCTCCTGGACAGCCCCGGCTAATCTCGAAAGTCTGTAGAGGTCTCTCGGGCCATCTTGCCACTCTCGCCCCGCTGCTGCCCAGCTACGCGTCTTCCACAAGCGCGGTGGCGGATATGCGCGGCCCAGTCATGCGAAATGGGCCGGCGGAATGAGCGAAGCGATTCAATAATAATAACTGACAAGAATGATAATAATACTGAGAAACATAATAGCACTAATACAGATCATACTAATACCAAGAAGACGAAAACAGGGATGATGGCGGCGGAGGGCGGCGGAGGACTTCTGATCGAAGGAGGGCGGAGCAAGAGGAGGCAAAGAGCAGGCGCCACAAAGCATGAACAAATCCTCCGCCTTCTCCACCTTCCAAGAAAGCTACAGGACATCTGCTTTGAAGCGCTGAAGCGCATCTGCAGGAGATCACGCATATTCCACTGCGCTGAAATACGCCAATTCACGCCATGACTCATCATATGCCATTCGCAAACGCGACCCGAACGGTGCCCGAGTAGATGGGGCCGGAGAATCGCATCGCATCGCCGATGCATCACCGACGTCGCGATGAAAGTTAATCGTAGAAGAACACAACAACACATGGGTCGGCACGGA